AAATCCTTTCTCTATACAGGGACCACTGAGTTACCTCTAGAAAAAAAAAAACTGCTAAAAGCACAATAAGTCCATCATAACAATTGAATAGGATGGAAAGTAAAAATTTTATGTGCAGAATCTCTAGAGGACAAGTAGAAAATAGTAATGGGACTAATATTACTGTACATTGTTTCTTTTGTGACTCTGACCTATGACATGGCTGGTGTAAACACATTTGTTTAGAGTTAGGTTCAATGCATTTCAGAGGTTCAAAAACTATGGAATGGGTATGAACATTTGATGGACCATTAGAAAATGCCACCACTTACATCCCATCAAAATGGCTATAACAAAGATGATGGGATGAGTCCTCCTTTATTAAAGAAATGGAGGGACAGATAGAGCCTTCATTACTAAGACACTTGTGACAACTTATGACAGGTGATTCTGATGAGCCAATTTGGTTAAGAAAATAATGTGTCATTTGTTTACAAAATAATCATAAATCTGTCACCTATATGATTTCTTATACTACAGGTATATCAAAATTTTACTAAAACACTTTATTAAAAATGTCTTGGGACAAAAAATCAGAAAAAGTATGGTATAAAAACCATGGCACTAAATTACGGTACTACATAAAGGAGGCTCTCGCTTAATGTCGTAGTTACGGTCTTGTAAAACACAACGTTAACGAAATAAATTTTCCCAATATGAAATAGATTAAATACGCTAGTTACGTTCCCTGGCCTCCCTTTGCCCCATAAAATACATTACTTATGCATAAATTCAACGGAATTTTTATAGAAATATATATTATATATCCAAAAATGTAAATAAACTAAATTAATATTTAATTAATAAGATAATACAATCATTTTGTATTGTACTCACTGATGGGCAGAAGTGGAGCGAGTGTGTGGTGGGTAGTGGAGTGGAGGAGGGTGGTGAGTCACTGAGACCTGGAGGGGGTCTCCCCTTCCCACTCTGACTGGGGTTCCCCCTTGGCAAGCATCACTAACACTTGACGGGCGCTTGGGAGCCATTTCGAATGGTTACAGTACAGTATGTATAGCAAAAACATTTAAGCAAGCACTACATCCTTGACCACCGAAGGGTCAAGACGTACCTGGCGCTCCTCTCGGAGCAGCCAGGTCAACTGTTAAGTTGGCCCATACCAACCCCCTCTCCTGAACCCTCCTCCCCACCGGAATATCAACAAGTTCTCGCCAGAAGTTACAATTTCATTTAGGAAAGGAATGGAACCAGTGTTAAACAGAGGTTAACAGTGGTGAACAGTGCTTAAGTCAGTGAGAACAACTCACAGTAACAGTCGTACCCAAGTTAACCTTCACGCAGTGAGGTCCCAGGTACCCAGTGATAACGGCCCATGAGACCCAACAACAACCAGCGATGTGTTAATCCATCTACGATAGGGAGGCTTAAGACCAAACCTCACTCATATAACACCATCTGTGAGGGAATTACTACACCACATGTCCCTCATAACACCATATGTGAGGGAATTACTACACCACGTCAAGTCCCTCATAACACCATCTGTGAGGGAATTACTACACCACATCAGGCCCCTCATAACACCATCTGTGAGGGAATTACTACACCACGTGATGCCCCTCATAACACCATCTGTGAGGGAGTTACTACACCACGTGAGGCCCCTCATAACACCATATGTGAGGGAGTTACTACACCACGTGAGGCCCTTCATAACACCATCTGTGAGGAAATTACTACACCACGTGAGGTCCCTCATAACACCATCTGTGAGGGAATTACTACACCACGTGAGGCCCCTCATAACACTATCTGCGAGGGAATTACTACACGCGAGGTTCCTCATAAAACCATCTGTGGGAACTACTACACCACGTGAGTTCCTCCTAACACCATCTGAGAGGGAGTTACCACACTACGAGTTTGCTGTTCAACACCTACATTAATCTGTATGTTCACTGTATGTTCCTTTACCTTTCTCTAATGAAGGCTTTTGTTAAACCACCAATGTATGTAATAAGTCATTTATGTCCAATGTATATTTTCAGCCTTCGGGCTGCAGAATTTTTTCAATAAACCGTTAATTATTATTATTATTACTTACGCTGTGGAAGCTTAACAAAGACTGGGGAGAAAATGCTTGGGGGCGCTGTGACACTCCGCAAGAGAGAGTAGCACGCCAAGATGAGAGAGGGTGACGCACCATACAAAGTAGTCCGTGTTGGGTGATCACATTATAATGAATCGGTCAAATCGTAAAACAACATTGTCAGAATCATGGGTATCTAAAGAGTAGCAACGTTATAACAAAACAACCTTGTCCGGGACGTTAAGCGAGGACTGGGTGTATTTACAGTATATATATCTTTCCTGAATACAGTAATGTAAATACCAAGTTAAGACAATTCTTTGCTAAATGTACATGATGCCCCACTAAAACCTACTTGCAAGTAGATAACAGATATCTTTTGGCCAAAAATTTAAGATTTATCATAGCCAAAATTAAAAGTGCCCTTGCAGGCATCTGTTAGTGCTCCTGTAAAAGCTCTAAGACTATCTATGTACAGGTACACCGGTTTCATTTTACAGGCATCTGTTTACACCAGTTTGCCATTCATTTCACTCGTTTAATGGGAGTTCGTTTGGTGTTTCATTAAAATTATCAATCATTTTACCCCTTACATTTTTGTAAACTTTGAAGAAAAAAATACCATAACTATAATTACAAAACCTGGGACAGTGTTTGATGATATTCTTGTAAGCTCCAAGATTAGCTGACTTCTATTCACTTTTTTAATTTGCAGTGTTATGTTGCTTAATATCTAAAGGCTAGTTCATCCTTTACATTATAGTGCTGTACTATGCATACACTCTGCAAGATGGCTAGCAAATGTGGATTAGGTAACAAGGAAAGAACTACTCCAAAAGTATGAGGAAAAAAGTCATCGGTTCCACTGATGGCGAGTGTTAACTTTCATTTTAATTGTTTACTTGTTTTAATTATTTATTGTTTCTACTATAATGCACTATTACAGTTGGTACATTATCTGAAATAAATAAATAAATAAATAAATAAATATATATATATATATATATATATATATATATATATATATATATATATATATATATATATATATATATATATATATATATATATATATATATATATATATATATATATATATACTGTATATATGTTGTAATCTGTATTTCTTGTTTTGTGAAGAATCTTTGATCAGGAATGCATCTTCAGATAATACTGTATGTGGTTTCAATGGGAAAATGTGCTTTGTATTATAGTTTCACACAACACTATGTTTTACCGGAACACTTGTACGACATAAGTGGGGAAAGCCTGTTCTGCTCTTAAAAAAACTATTGTGGCTCCTGTTTAAAAAAAAATATATACAGTGAAATCACTACTTCTGGCATAAAAAAGGTACTTTTTGTTTGTTGAAAATATACCTTCACAAAGAGCTTTGAAATAAAATGATGACAAAGATATTATTGACTAACTAGATGATATGTACTGTAATAGACACTGTTCGTATTTACAGTTCTCTTACATGAATCTACTGTCATCAAATGCCAAACTCTAAAATAACAATACAGGGGGTCTCTGAGTTACGAATATCCGACTTACAAACACCCGCCGATACGAACGAGGTCCCATAAGATCAATTATTTTCAGAATTCGACATAGGTACAACTAGTTCGCAGTATTAACGTACGAAAACTAGTTTGCATGGCATAGCGGCGAGCTGTAATGGTAGGTAAGGAATAATGCGTCACCCAGCCATGCACTTTGAGGGAGCGTCGGTACGCCGCCTTGCCCTCACCTCAGTAATATGTATGGTCAAGTGCAAACTGTTGTTTTTTGCTTTTAACGCTATTTTTCTGTCCTCATCATGGCTCCCAAATGCAAACCTGATGCAAGTGATAGTAATGCATCCAAGAAAAGAAAAATGATTACAATAAAAGTGAAAGTTTATGTAATTAAATGTTCTGAAAAAGGCAAAACACCCTCAGTCATTGGTAAAGCATTAGGCTTCAGTTGGTCAACAATTGGAACAATTTTGAAAAACAAACACAAAATTCTTGAACATGTAAAAGGATCTGCACCGATGCACTCAACTGTGATAACAAAAGAAAAGAAATGGATTGCTAATTAAAATGGAAAGATTGTTAGTGATATGGGTGGAAGATCAGCCAGCCCAAGTTTCAATGTAAGTGTTAAACTTTAATTGTTACTTTCCTTTACTGCATTTTATCACTCATTTTCTTTTTTTCGCTTAAATTAAGTGATTTGAGATGTATAAAAGGATTTAGGCTATAATATAGTGCACATAGGGTATGTATTCTGACTTACGAACATCCTCAGGAACGGAACTCATTCGTAACCCGGGGACCCCCTGTAATCTTAAAGCATCTATGACCTTACTGAGGTTAGTAATGCAAGGTTAATTCTATAATTTCTATCACTAGCACATATTCTGTCCTTAAGCTGGGTTTCACCATCATGAATGGGGTAAATGTTTGAGAGTTTTTATAAACCAAAGGAATTGGGCCTTTCAGAACAATTCCTCCAAGTGTCATGTGTGTCTGTCACAGAAGAAAAACTAATAAGGCTCTAAGACAATGAAAGCCTCTTGATTTGGTACAATTATTCTACACCATTAAGATTTGAGGAAGTCTGAAAGTTAAACAATTTTCTCAATTTTAGGAGGCTCTAACCTTCCACACGAGCTGGCCATGAATACAAATAAATAAAAAAAAAAAAAATACTCCTTCCTTCACTAACTAGAGCAACTAAATTATATTACACTACAAATGCTCACAGCTACAAAATTATTGGAATGGGATAACCAAATCTGAAATCATTCACCATATGCTTATCATAACGTTAAACACTCATCCATCACCTATCTTTAAAAGTTTAGTACTGTGTGTTTAATATCTAATAAATGCACTAAAAACATGTAAAAAGAACATTCTAGTTCAAGACTAATCATAACTTTATAGCATTACATCAGCTTATATTTCACTACATAATATCACAATCGTTCTACAATCATTGAAAATAAAGCACAAGTTTTGCAACAGATGACGAAAGAGTTATCAGGGAAAAGTAAACTGAACAGAATCCTTTACACTCATATAAATATATATAATTCTACATATATCGTCAACATCTGCAAAGAGGACTCGCCTGTACAGAAAATAGGACCCAAGAAATAAATTATTAGTACCCAAGACATAACGATAAAAAAAAAAAAAAAAAATCGGATGAGAAACCGGAATCCCACTTTTTATTCTAAATGTACAACATAGTACTGGCTGCCAGTAAGTCTATCATAATACCATGCATTTTTATTTTGAGGCCCCATATTCATCTTGACATTAGGAACTGAGTTTTGTTCTTCATTATCTACTAAGCTCCACTGGGTTGGTATCTCATAGATAAGTCTTCTTAACATGTTACTTGCATCTGTCACCAATATTCCCTTCACACCTAAGTGGGGTGGGACAGATGAAACAACCAAGTCAAAGAACCGAAAGAAATTTTTTAACTTCTGCAGTACATTATACTGCCTGTATTCTTTATACCTAATTAGCTAAACCGAGTGTTGGAGAGGTTTCCAATTGCATTAATTTTTCTACTTTCTTAAAACACTCTTCTCCACTATGTGCAATCTTTTCACTCCTCTCATAATTTCCAGAGACATGTTCCTGGATAATTAGAAATTTGATTATCGGCCCACCAGTCCCTTGTACAGTACTGTTTACCTTCCCACCTCCAACCTTCCAAAATACCACCTTCAATGATTTATAATCTCATTTCATTCTTTATACACCCTACCAATCCTATTTCAATACAGTATTTTCCAAGCATTTTCTTAGGGATTTTTTCACTGTGCAAATATATTTCTTACTTCACTCTTTATTACATGAATTTGTTTAACCTCAATATTATTGCCAAAGTAGCTACTTCAGCAAATTATTCATTCCTACTGCTCTCACTTTTTACTTATGTCTAGTAGTTTGAAACCTCCGAGTTTCATATCCCTCAAGCTGGCTTCTCTCATATTCCACACATTACTTACCTCATTCAACAAAATTCACAAGGTACCTGTAACACACCTTTCTTGCAAAGATTTACTTTCATCTCCAATTTTCCCACTGTCAGTCTTGTTAAACATAGACATCAAATACCTACATCATCTACTACTTTTTAGTTTATCTTTACTCAAGCAAACATTACTATGACTCTGTTATCATTTTTGAAAACTAGAATGTTTCTTTTTTTAATACTGTACACTTTAGCCTTTCCTTCTTCTGCATCATCAAAATAGTTCGCCATTCTCTCAAATTCAGTAAAAATAACAGCACCATCTATATACAACATATTTCATAGGAAAGTGAGCCTATACCTAATAACCTTTCAAGAGAGTACAAACTTTAACCAAGCTCTCAGTTTCTTGTGATGCAATATTTTGGAGTTGTCATCTGTCATCATACATAGTCCTCCGAAGAAGCAAATGATAATTCTCAGGATTCACACGAGTATAAATAAGGAGTAACAAACGGCTGCATTACTAATCCCTTGGAACAAGTTTGAGGAATGAACTTTAAGGAATAAATCAACATTTTTAACCATGACAAATAATTCCCCCTAAAATTTGGGCCATATAAACTACCAATCACTACATTCATTAAGACATCCATTGCAATACACTGTTTTACCAAAGGCGTGTTCAGGATACTGCACAATTAACCTCCCCTAAGACTTCCATATACAGTACCCAAGGAAAAAAAATCATGCCTCCAAACTGAAAGCTTAATTTCCCTAGCTTAATCAAACTATACAAGCTTGAGCAAAGATATGGCAAAGTTGTATTCTTTTAAGTACAGTACATTTGAATCATCAACAGGTCTTACTAATCTATTTTTAGGCATTGCCCCATTAATCTTGTTACACGAACAAATTAAAGTTTCATTTGTACATTTAATACCCTAGAATTTACATGGGATATTTTGCAAGAAAAGCTATAAACTGCATCATTCTCTTCATATACTGACCTTGGCGTGTTTCTAATCGCAGCACAATATACCAGTACCCTATGCTCTCTATTTTTTCTCACACAGTAGTTAAGCATATTGCAAGATTCTTTAAATAAATTTCCTAGACAAACTACAGTTCCTAAACAAATTAACAAATAATTTTATTCAGTACCATATCTGATGATATTGTGACAGTCCAAAGACTTTTACTTCCACTCACATATTTCTAAGCCACCTCTATCAATCCTTATGAAATACAATGTAAAACCTCTGTCTTCATTAATGACATATAAAACCCATGATAGGATTTGTAACTTTGCCATCATATACAGTATTTGAGAATAAATATTTTAAATAATACAACAATACTTTGGTAAAAGAACGTGCTCTATAAGAGAGAAAAAAAGATACTCTTGACTCTCTTAAAAAGCCATTAACAAATGTTTAAACAATTACGTGTGTATCATGCATAATCACAAGAGAAGTACTCTTTGGTTATTATCATCCAAGGAGTTCCAACCCTGCAAAGTAATAAACAAGGACTAGTATACTTGTCCAAACTACTATGAGACCTCACGGTAAACAAGTGTCCAAGACTTCATCGGTAAGTCTTTTACTATGAAGACTCCAGGACTTCATCTGAATGTCTTTTTGTTTGTGCTTCCTGATTAACTTCTTTTTTGAAATAATCTTCTTGTGGTCTGAATTCAAGAGAATCTTTCTCATGAATAAGTGATTCCTCACTATTCTGTACGACTGAGGGACATAAATCTGTCTCTTCCTTGCATGAACTTTTTTCTGTAGATACCACATTCACTTCACTAGCATCACATGTCCTATTAACATTATTGCTGTTTCCTGAGGAGGATTTCTTGGGGTCACCAATATTTGCTTCTTGTTTTGAAGTCCATTCTTGGTAGGCCTCTTGGTAAGATTTCAGAGGAATGACAAAGACAGAAATATCATCAATAGTTGCATGTTTGTCATCACTGGTACGCCAATTACGTTCTCGAAGCTTTCCACGAGAGGCCATTACAAGGTCTTGAGCTGCACTTGTGTATCTAAAAGGATATATGACCAATGCAGAATTAAAACTATTAAACAAACTGGCAAGAAGCTAATATACTGTAATTATTGATCACTCCCCACATCTATTAATTTAAACATTGTTAATTATTCATACATTCACCCATTTCAGAACTATTCCTACTTTCCATGCATGAAAAGTTGTACAGTACAAACGTGATGGATTGCAAGTTTTTGCATCACATATGGTTGCATTATGGCAATTTCATGGAGTGTCACTGATTTTTCTAAAACAGTATTGCATATTTGGATGCATTGCAAGCAACAGCAGAGGGCCAAGAACCAAGTAAGAGCACCAAGCAGCAATCAGCTGTGTTTGCCCCACCTGATTCTCAATGTGGGTATGAATATGGATGGCTTACTGTATTTAAATTGTAATTACCTTTGAACTAGAGTAAAATTTTGTAAGGAGGATACGAAACACCGAAGTAAACTTTTCATCAAACAGCATTAGCAGAGAAACTCATCATGACAGTATCACCTCATCTGGTTCCTATGCATTATAATGCCACATACTCAAATCTAGACATAGAATGATGGATATACTTCTTTTTTATTAAATTATTTGTTGAAACAAATTCTTTACAACAATCTCAGAGTAAGGTTGACCGTCAAAAATCTGGCAATCGATAAACCGGAACCTTCAGTTTTCCGGCATGGATTTCGGAGCCCATTTTCAAATTTCCTGCCTTGGCGCACCATTGTTTTCTGGACGCGCCCAGTGACAGGTTAAGACTTTCGTAGGCCTTAGGCACCTCCAAGATATGGGGCCCCATTTGACAGCATATTCACTAATAACACAAGCTAGTACCTAATTATAAAATGTGATGTCGAAAGAATAAGATTCAGTGATGTTTGCCATGAATTGAGTAAAAGAAAATGGGTTAGATCAGCTGTTCTTGTACAGTACAGGTACAGAAATAGTTTTGTTTACAAGAAGCACAGCTAGCTGGTGGACACTAATAGGATTAAGTAATAAATAAATGGAAAAAAAAGTACCTCAGTATCAATTTAATAATAACCTGTAGAAAAAGGGGAAGAAAAGTTCTCGTTTTATTTTTCGTAGGCCCCGAATGTCTCGTAGGCTCATGCGCCGTTTTTGTTTTGATAGCGCTGTACTCCAGAATCAGCTGTTGGGTCTTGCTTGCACCTGCTAACAAGCATTCATGCTCATTCCTTCTAATTTTATCATTTAATTGCTGCTGTATAGCCCCATCATGGATTCAGCAAAGAAAAGCGGTGGCGTAAAACGTAAACATAGTGCGTTGTCGATCGCAGAGAAAGTGGAAGTGCTTAAAAAACTTGATAGCGGCGTGTCTGTGCGAACCATTTGTGAAACATACAGCATCGGTTCTTCAACAGTGTATGATATTAAAAAACAGAAAGAAAAACTGTTAAAGTTCTTTTCTGACAATGGATCAAAAAGGAAAATGTTTGTAAGGAAGTCAATGTCGGAGGGAAAAAGTGCGGAACTAGACCAAGTTCTCATAGCGGAACTAGACCAAGTTCTCATAGCGGAACTAGACCAAGTTCTCATAACCTGGTTTAAACTTCGTGTTAGTGAAGGTGTGGAAATTTCTGGTGATTTATTAAAGGAACAAGCCAAAGTGTTTCATGAAGAGCTGGGATTGCAACACAAGTGTGACTATACAGAAGGTTGGCTGCAACGTTTCAAGTCGCGACATGGCTTACAGTTTCGTGCAGTATGTGGTGAAAAACCTTCAGCAGACAAGGATGCAGCTAGTGCCTATGTGGATGAATTTGCAAAGTTAGTTAGTGATGAACATTTAAGTCCTGAACAAGTGTACAATGCTGACGAGACTGCCTTATTTTGGAGATGTACGCCAAAAAGAACTCTGACAACTGAGGATGCAGAATCGCCATCGGGGTTTAAAGCTTCGAAGGATCGTGTCACGGTAATGTGTTGCTCTAATGCTGCGGGTACCCATAGATGTAAGTTGCTTGTTATCGGAAAAAGTTTACATCCGAGGGCCTTTACGGGTATGACACGGTTTCCTGTCCATTACCGTGCCACCAAGAAGGGGTGGGTTACCACTGATATTACATTGGATTGGTTTGATAAATGTTTTGTTCCTGAGGCCAGGGCTCACTGTAACTCAGTTGGACTAGACCCTAAATGCAAGATACTTCTTATTTTAGACAATTGTTCGGCACATCCAAAAGCCGATCTTCTAGTGAAAGAAAATGTTTTTGTTTCCTACCTCTGACCCAATAACTCGGTATGGTCATATTAAAAGCACGCATTTTTTGTCTTACAATATGGAAGGCTTCATCCACTTCATCCACGGCTATGGTTTAAGTTTTGATGGTTCTAACAAGGGAGTTGACAGTGTTGACATAGCCAGAGCATTTTGCAATTTGGAGAAATTCAGTAATTTGACAAGTGAAGAAGTGAACATGTGTAAAGGTGTTGTGTATGCATCTATGTCCAAGCCTTGCATTCCAAACTGTCCAGAAAGATTCACCAAAGCAATCCAAGCCCTTAAGAAAAATAAGGATCTACATGTCACTAAAGCAGATAAAGCCAACACAGTAGTGATTTTAAACAAAGATGACTATATCTCAAAAATGAATGACCTTTTATGTGATACTACAACATATTCTAAACTCATAAATAATCCTCTCAACACTGTCAACACCCAGTTCAACAAAAAACTGAAGTCCCTATTGAGAGGCAAAGCTACTCTCATTAAACATCTTACTTCAACGTCCCCTCCACTGCCATACATGTACGGTGTAATCAAGACCCACAAGCCCAATAACCCAGCAAGACCCATCATTAGCTCAGTTGGGTCAATCCCTTATAAACTATCTAAATGGTTAGTTTCTTAACTAAATCCCCTAGTTGGCAACATTTCTAACTCCAATATCAAGAATAATATGGATCTGGTTGATAAACTCAATAACTTACACATTAATTATGATTTTAAACTGGTCAGTTTTGATGTAACATCACTCTTTACAAAGGTCCCAGTTGATGATTTACTAGAGTTCCTCATAGATTCCCTGGATGATATTTCACTGCCCGTCTCGAAAGACGACTTCATCGAACTCATCAAACTATGTATTAAGGATTGCAAATTCGAATTCAATGGAGAATATTATGCTCAAAAATTTGGTATGGCAATGGGTAATCCACTCTCACCTGTATTAAGCAACCTATATATGGAATTCTTTGAAAAGAAACTATTAAGTAATATTTTACCACCCTCAGCAATCTGGTTTAGATATGTTGATGATGTATTATGTCTCTGGCCATGTAATGAGGACCTAAAAGCTTTCCTGCCACTACTTAACAACTTAGCCCCCTCGATCAAATTCACTGTGGAATTAGAGCAAGACTGTAAATTGCCATTCCTAGACTGTCTGATGCACAGAATAGGTAACACTTTTAAGTTCAGTATTTATAGAATACCAACTAATGTGTGTTCATACATTCATTATTATTCTGCCCACCATAATAAAGTCAAACAGTCAGTATTTTCAACAATGTTTTTACGTGCCTTGAGAATTTGCAATCCGGAATTCATCGATGAGGAATACAAATATATATATAATATTGGCTCAAACCTTAAATACCCTAGATCTTTCATAGACAAATGCCTAAACATTACTAAGAAAACTTTTTATAGAACTGATCCCAAGCCCACCCATGACCATAAGAATATCTTAATATTACCATTTCACAAAAATTTCTCACACATTCCTGCACAGCTAAAAACCTGGAACGTCAATGTGGCATTTAAAAACTCATGCACTGTTAAACAAATGTTAATCAAGAACTCCCCCAACAACACAATTGGTTGCATTTATAAAGTTCCTTGCAAGGAATGTAATATGTTTTACTTAGGCCAGACAGGTAAAGATCTTGCAACTAGAATTAAACAACACAAATACAGTGTTAGGACAGGCCAGGAATCCAATGCTCTGTTTGTTCATTTGAGGGATAACAAGCATTGCATTGACTGGGATAATGCCTCCTCAATATTACCATGTAAGTCAATTGACAGTAGGAACATCATAGAATCTAGTCTTATTAAACATACCGAAGCATTCAACATGAATTTGAGTAACGGCATGTACAAGCTGGACAATTTTGTAATTAAGAAGATTTGTGATCAGGTGAGAAGGCCGGGTCACTTGACCATCTGACCTGACCACCAACCGTTGTGTGCGTGCGTGCGTGCGTGCGTGCGTGTGAAGTTGGGGTGTGTTTATGTGATGTGGGGTGAGAGTGGCGCTGGAGGGTGTGTGTGGATGATGTAGGGGTGTGTGGATGGTGTTGGAAGGTGTGTAATGGTTGTTGGAGGGTGTGTTTCTGTGTGTGATGTAGGTGTGTGTGTGTGTGTGTGCGTGTGATGTACGGGTGCATGTGTGATGTGTGGGTGGTGTAGCAGTGTGGGTGGTGTGGGGTGAAAGTGGGAGAGTCAATCCTTTTTGGGGGATGAGGAGGAGGGTCGTGCGGTCAGTCCCCCTTCCTCACTCAAGCGTGGCTAATTGTGATGGGAAGATGAATTTGATACCATAATGATCCTTAATAAATTCTATGTGACGTTACTAATAAGATACCCTTAAACGAAATATTTTGATATGATATAATGATGGGAATTCCATTCTTTTATACAGAAAATTAAGAAATGTTGATACTGGAGTCAATAAAATCAGTTCTACTTTCGTTACACACAATTTTTTTTAATCAAAATAATCTACATAATACAGACGTGAATAGAGCTGTGTTACAGTGTAGGAGCTGTAGTTATTTACACAAACAATACTGTAAACATACAATATTGGTCATACTGTAAACATAATAATGTATACTACTGTACTACTATATTGTATATATTGTACTCATCAGCAGATCCTGTCATCCTTAGCTTAGAGTAGGCAGACACTTCACTCAGCTAACTGTAATCACGTCTTAACACTTGCGATGGAGGTTGGGTGGGAGATTATTGGGTCATGTTACTAACCTCACCTGATGCAAAATCAGGTCACCCATTGTTGGGGTGGGGGATTAGTGGGTCCCATGACCTGAACATGTCTTGAATAAAGACGAATGGTAAGGTGCTCCAGTGTTTCCCACTCGCTGAATGTACAGTATAGTATACGTAACAGTAATCACTTTTTTCGTTCTTGACATTGCTTTAACCCTGAATTCTTGGCTGATTTTGTTCTGGTACAATAATGTACAGCACTGCACAACAAAAATTGTACACAAAAACAGCAGCTAGCGAGGGAACAAACAATGACAGCAGACTATGAACTAAATGATCCAAGTAGCTGGGCCACCCACGCATCTGGCATGTAGGGATGCATTGAAGCATCTTTTGGAATGTCCAAAAAATTTATTCTCAGACCCAAAAATAAAAGTCTGTTAAAATTTTCCATTTTTTTTATTTCCAAAAAATGCTCCTGATTTTCAACCTCAGAATTTGTTCTCAAACCAAAATTCAGAGAAGTTTCCAAAAAAATTCCAAACAAATTTCAATTTCAGCAATTGGAGACTTCCAGATTTGAGGGATTTCTGCTAACGGAGATATTGCTGTATTATCTGAGCCGGTATGATAGTTAATATACAGTTGATGCTCTGCATAGTCTTCAAGGAATTCTAGGATGATGGGAATCTTTACTAATCAGGATCATGACTATTGGTACAACAGGAAATCTATACGATATTAAAATAAAATTTGCCCTGAAGAGAAGTTTCCTATAACCAGGTGGGAGGAAATGTTAATACCGGGGCCCCACATATTCGCGGATTTTTATTTCACGGTCCTCTATTATTCGTGGATGACACTCTGGATGTACCCAAGAATACCTGTGGGTAGTTTTAAAGTTGCCGGCATTTTCGCGGCTGGGACAGGGAGCCATTTGTTCAAGAGACATTAATTTCCTTTTCCTGTATTATATATATATGTGTGTGTGTGTGTGTGTGTGTGTAGACACACACACACATATACTTAATACAATTTTATACAATACATAAACACAATCAGAAACAAATTCATTAAATATGTGACAGTCTATCCTGAAGTCCATGCTTCCCATTATTATTTATTTGTATGTGTTTTGTGCGCGCGCGCACGCACGCACATGTAAAAATGTACCCCAGTCAGCAAATGTTATTCACAGAATTTGCGATTCGCGGCCATTTTGAAAACCTAACCCCCGTGAATTTGGGGGCCCCCTATACTGTACTGTACTACTGAAAACAATCTATAATTACCAACAACAGAAATAGGCATATCATGAAAAATTGTACATCATATTCACCTGTATTTGTATTTGTCATGATCCTCAGCTGGGAAATGTGAGAGAGATTTAACCACTGTCGATACAGCTGCTTCATTGGACGTGATGTCCCACAGACCATCTGTAGCCAGAACCAATACATCTCCATCTGTTAGGTCTGCTGATGCTACATCGAATATTCTCACCTGAAATATGATTAAGATCTTTTAAAAAGTAAAAAAAAAATAATTTCTTATACAATATCATTTTATTAAAATTACCCAGTCTGTCTAACTGCAAATGTGGCAACAGTGATTAAAGTTTGTAACCTCCTCATAATTGCAATGGGGCAAAAGCTAGAGCCCAAAGTGTCTGTTAACAGTGACTTGCTGCCTAATATTTACCAGGGGAATAGTTGTTGGTATTCATCATGGTTTCAATACACTTCACCCAATTATAACAATCTTGGTTTGAAATCAGAGATGTACTGAAAATTTAATATTGTAAACTCATTCCCTTAAATTTTTAAGTAAACGATTGAAATCTTTAGGAAATATGTATACAGTCGACCCTCGTTAATTTGGACCCCTTTAATCCGGATTTCGGATAAATCGGACGAAATCTGAACTGTCCATGTCAAATTTCTGGTTCTGGGATTGTCCCAGTTGCAATTGGGGTTGCAATTTCAAATTCTGTGTCACTACTAAGGAATAACAAAGTCTCTGGTGCACTCTAAGATTAAGAGAAAACGGACGACTCAGGCGTCCTGAAGTGAGAGAAAACGGACTCCTATGACGGAGCACTCAAATAAAGAGACATGGCTACATGTTTTGTTGACTACCCACTGTACAGTATCCTTTTCATCACTTTGTAATAAACCTAGTCATGCCTCTGTGTGTTTCTGATAATAACCATAACATTATATATTTATATATTTAGCGGTTGTACAAACACAAGGCCTCACACATGCCACTCAGACTGACAGACTTGACAAGTTTTACCAACCATAAAGACAGTTGAACCTTTAAACATCACTCACAATGGATCTTGAATATTCCAACTGTAATCAGACATACCTAAGTTGCCTCAACAATTGCAACCCCAGTTGCAATATCAAATTCTGTGTCACTACTAAGAAATAACAAAGTCTGGTGCACTCTAAGATTAAGAGAAAACGGACGACTCAGGTGTCCTGAAGTGAGAGAAAACGGACTCCTATGACGGGGCACTCAAATAAACATACACATAGCTGTAAAATGCAATATTATGCAATATTAACCCCTAAATCGGTTAATTCGGACAATCGGCTAAAACGGACACCCTTTCCCCCTATTAGCCCGTTTTAACGAGGGTCGACTGTATGTATAAATAGCATTTATTTTAAATGCTCCATAACTGCCATTGTTAGTCATCTTTAAACAATCAATTATCACAATTGCAATATTACAACCTTCAAGGGTATGTGACTTGAGATTGGCTGATCATGTGTGAATTACAGTACTGTACCAGCACCCGGCAGTCCTCGCTTAACCGTTTCAGTCCTTAGGATCAGAGTCCTCCACACATATGAGACATGGTGTGATTTTTCCCACCCCTTTTCAAATATCCTGAAGCAGCCATTAGCCTTTCAATAATGCCATGTCACCAGCAGTAATAACTCACCTCAGGAAATTTCACAGCTGCTGTGTATAATTTGGAGAAAGGACATTTATATCAAAATGTGCATCTGGTAGACACAAACATTAATGCAAGGTGATGCAGGCTGAAATAGATCAACTTTTGAGGAAAAGTAGTGATATACAGGTACTGTAGATGATTTTGATGAAGCTTTGCTGGAGCACTTTATATGAACAACCTGTCAGTACAGAGAGATGCCAGGAAGATAAAATGGCCCAGACTATCATAATGGAAATATGATTATGTTGTAAGATATGGCGATATTATAAGCCCATGGAGCTGACCACTATGGGATCACTGCCTTGGTGCCATGACAAGTTTTGCCTATAAAGGTATTTTCCCTGTATTTTTTTGTCCTGTACTATATTTTCACAAATTCCAGTGTTGCAGTGAGCAAATAAACATTCTAAAGTCTAAATGATAAATAGAAAACTAACAATCTCCACTGGTTCTTGATAAAGCTATGGGTTTGTGTTGACTGTCATAGATTTTACAGGTGGGAAGCTGCAATGTCTTCAGTACTTACAGCAATACCCCATAATTCAGATCACTCACTAGGCTCAATAGGCCACAAAAAATATCAGAATAAGCTTTTATCACAACTATCATTTACTTTGTTATTTTGTACAAACAATTACTAAAAAGAAGTAAAGGGTAAGTAACATACCTGTGGTTCAGGAGTAAGGAAGGGTTTGATGGGTATTGAGGAGCACTGGGCCTTAAGATCATGGTCTCCAAATCCTCTAGTAACTCCAATTGTAGCTAAGACACGACTCTTAAGAAAAAACAAAAGACAGTTTGTTCTATATGGGTACAGTATCTCCATTTAAAAACTGAAATGAGTTTAAAATACGTACTACAATCCAGTGTCATTACATTGGTGAAATTTAAGCTGGAAAACTGTAAACTTCATAATGTTAATTACAATAATTTACAGGTTAAAAGTCTATTACAGTTGAACATATAGTATTTTGTACCTATATAAAAAAAAAAAAAAAAAAAAATATATATATATATATATATATATATATATATATATATATATATATATATATATATATATATATATATATATATATATATATATATAATATATATATATATATATATATATATACAGACTGGGACCCCTGACTTACGACTGCTGCAGATTTTATTAAAAAAAAAATCAAATGACACGCATTTTCTATACCGAAACGTTTCCAGTTAATGTAGTCTCCATGTATAATTAGAAAATTATGGGGGCCCCATGTGCATTCAGCTGACTACATTAAAGGTAAGTGCTCAGTCACACTGTATCCATTCCTCATTATTTATTACTTTCACTGTACTGTATTTCATTGTAGATTTTTTATTAAAAAAAAAATTTAATTTTTTTTTATCTATGTCGGACTTACGACCTGGATTTGGGTCCCTAACCCCGTCGTAAGTCGGGGTCTATCTGTATATATATATAGGGGTGACTACAGACTAAAGGGAAGTACAAAACAAGGTGTATATATACAGAGGAGTGTGAGACATTGGTTGCCCAAAGAGCGGTGAAGATACTGTACTGGAAATTCTATCATTAGCAGTGCTTTTCATTGGCCACAATAGTTTTTTGTATGAACAATGTAGCCTGCCACTCATTTTGGAAGTACAGGTGTTGACCGTTATACAATGGGGTTAGGGACTTAAAAAATCCATCGTAAGGTGATCAAATGTATATCGATATTCATAACTTATGGGGAAAAAGAGATTCCGTTCCTGAAACCACAAAGAGCCAGACTCGGCACTCAAAGCAGTTATTTTTCAACTTGTAATTTTAGATAGACATACATTTTTTTTGTACTGTCACTTACACACAGAATCTTTCACACAGAGTGTGAAAAAAAAATATTTAAAAACATAAAGGGAATAAACATTTCTTACATGTGCCAGAGTTATCACACAGCAGGGGAACCCGGTAGACATATTTAAGTTATTTTTTTTTCTATTACATGCACACACAATCATTCATACAGAATGTGCAAAAAAAAAAACATAAAAAACATAAAGGGAATAAACATTTCTTACATACATGGGAGCTAGCACAGAGAGTGTAGGAGGGGGAGCAGCATCGGGGATCTCGGTTCACTGTCTTGTGTCCTGTATGTTGTGACATGGCAATGCAAAATTTTTTCTTTGACTTTATTTACTATTATTATTATTTCTACAGGCAGTCTCCGACTTACGACGGGGTTAGGGACCCAAATCCAGGTCGTACGTCAAAAATGCGAAAATAATACATAGAAAATCTAAAATGGGTGTCTCTTTTTCTTCTCAGCACCACAAAACTCTCACTTTTAAGCTTGCCAGCCATTTTAAAGTGAATTACAAACAAAAATTTTGTCAGTACACAGCACAATCACTAACGTTGGGACTCGAAAATACATATACAGTGGGGTATGCTATAACGAATCTAATTGGTTCTAGAACCTTGTTCGTTATAGCATTCGTTCGTTATAGGATTAATCCGTTCCAGGCCCCCAAATACAACCACCTAACACTGAAAAATATAATATTAAATTGTAAAAATTGTAAAAAAGTGCATAAATATGCATCTCAACCCTTGAAATAAAGAATATCATTAATACTTGTAATACAGAAACAATAAATTAGTAAAAAAAAAAAAATTATAATGTTCGTTGTACGAGTTTCATTCGTTATAGCATTATCAATTTTATAGGTAAAACCGTTCTTTATAGGAATATTCGTAGTAGGATCCATTCGTTATAGCATACCCCACTGTAGTTGGTTCCAACTCACAGAAAAAGTATACATACAAAGTACTGTACTGTATACCAGTAATAGAATTAACAAAACATTAAATATAAACTAAATACAGTACTGTACAGTATATTGTACAATAATAAATTTAAAACAATAGAATACAGTTGGTCCTCACATTACGCGGTTAATGTAACCCGGAGGGTCCCGCGGAAAGTGAGGAACGCGGAAAGTGAACAACATAACATATGGGATTAATTGAAATGGAGTCCAGGCCGATCCCCAAACTCCACTTTTTGACGACACACAACTATGTTGTAGTAAAAATTTTATCTTAACTTTATGATGGTATGAAAAAACAAGTAATATAGAAGAGGTTAGGTTAGGAAAGATAAAGGTTAACATAGGAAAAATAAAGAATAGGTTAAAAAACTAAAAATTTGGTGTAACACTTACGGTAGTAGAAGAGATGGGTCGGCATACGGGGATGGAGGCTGGTTCCGAGGCAGAGGGCAGATTACTGGCCCTCAGGTGAATCACCATTACTAGGTGAATCATCATCACTGTCACTTACAGTTGTCAGGGCTTCCCTGACAAATCCCTCAAAGTCAACTTCACTGTCACTATCACTGGCTTGGGCTGGCTGTGGTGGGTTGCGGGTGAAGAAATCTGTTATGCTTTGCTGACGGCTGGCGTTGATGTTGTCGTGATACACCTTGATGTACGGCTCCATAGCCTGCACCAGCCGGTTATGGAAGACTTCATAGCGGTCATCGTCATTGTCGCGGGAAAGGACGGACTTAATTTTCTCTGCAAACTCCATGGCACACTTAATATCACTATGACTTAAACTGTGTTCTTCGGAGACTGACGCACCTTCTTCCTCCTCTTCACTGACGTGTTCTTCTTCCATCATCTCGTCGGCAGTCACTTCAGGATCTCTGATCACCTCCAGGATGTCGTCGTTGGTGGTCTCGGAGAAGCCTGGAACTGTAACAGTCTGCGCAGCTTCTCTGGCAAGGTCCACTGCTACTGCAACATTCTGAACCTCACCAGTCACAGATTGACTCCTCCTCTCACCTGGTATTCCATGCAACACATGTCTCCATGCGTGACGAATTGTAGCAATAGACAGCTGATCCCATGACTCCACCAAGATGTCCACAGCTTTCTTGATGTTAAATATTCTCCAGAATTGTTTGAAGAGTATTTTTTGCTGTTCTAACCGTTGTTCCTCATCTTCGTCGCTCTTGCTATCGGTGGTGGTGTCACTCAGGTCACGCAACTCTTCCCTGGTGTTGGTGTAGTCGTTCAGGAGCTGGAATTTTTTTGTTGAGAATGCAGCTTTCACATTGCAAATCAACTCCTGGTCCATGGGCTGTAATATAGACGTAGTGTTGGGAGGAAGGAAGACCACTTTTACGTTGGGGTGACGATCTAACAGTAGGGGCGAGTGTCCTGGTGCGTTGTCCAGCAGCAACAAAATATTAAATGGGACATTCTGTTGCTCACAGAATTTCTTTACATCGGGAACAAAACAGTCATCAAACCAGGAGAGGGACAGTGTAGAGAACATCCATGCCTTACGTGCTGTCAGCCAGTGGACATTTAGCTTGGTCATGTCCATGGTTTTGTAGGCGTGCGGCTTGCGGGCTGTGTGGATCACCGATAACTTGAGCTTACAGGTACCGGAGGCATTGGTGGCAAACAGGACGGTGATGCGTTCCTTCTGCATTTTCCGGCCCCGAATCCTGCTGGCATTCTTCACAATGTAGGACTTGGAAGGTAGTTTTCTCCAGAAAAGACCAGATTCGTCCATGTTAAACACCTGGTCGTCGGTGTACTGTCCTTCCTCCATAATCTCACGTAAAAACGGAGGAAATTCCCGAGCCGCAGCACGATCAGCACTCGCTTCTTCACCACCAATGTTTATATTGGTGATCTTGTTCCGGATCTTAAACCTCTGTAACCACCCAGAGGAAGCAGTAAAGGGTTTGGGCTCTGTAATTCCCATCTTTCGTGCCACTGCCATGTACAGTTCACGTGCGTAGTCCTTCACAGAGCGCGTGTCGACCGCCATGTTCCGTCGCGCCTGACGCACCAAGTACCTCACAAGTAATTTTTCTGTCTTGAGAAGCACCTGGTTGTGAAAATACTTGATCATAGAAGCACCTGTAGACTTTGTGATCTTCATGTGCTCCTTTATCTTGGCTGAATCCTTCTTTATAGTCCGGATCGTAGATTCGTTGACGCCATGCTGGCGCGCGAGATCAACTTGCCGTGTTCCTTTCTCCAAATCTTGAATAATTTGGTACTTCACCTCGTAGCTTAAGGAACGTCGTGTCCTCTTTGGCTTAGTGCCGCTGGGTCCAGGTAAGGAAAGGTTTTTCTCTGGGGGTGGTGGTCCGGCGGAAGCCATTTTACGGAACAATGGATGCGCGTTAACACGGAGTGGCCTTGAGGGATGAGACTGTCGCGGCTAGGTCAAGCGTCGTCTCTCCTCCCTCCCTCCCTGCCCCGGGTGGACACGTCATAATACTTTAAGCCAATTACAGCTAGCAGCAGAGGAGGGTAGGGATGCATGGCCAATCACAGGTCTTGTACGTCATATGACGTCAGTGATAACGCAACAAAGACACACTGCGCAACCTTACCGCGCCGCTTGCCCAAGCGGAGGGAGGAGGAGGGAGAGGCAGGCAGGCGGGCAGGCGGGTGGCGCGTGGCGCGTGGGGAAAATCTAAAAATAGCGTCGCACCGGACACTCTCCGCGTAATGGCGTTCGCGACCGCGAAATGTGAAAATGTTAGGTTCTGGCAAGGCACCGCGGTAACGGTGAAACGCGGAATGCGGGACCGCTTAATGTGAGGACCAACTGTACTTTGTTTACATATCAAACAGCTCATTGTGGAGGCAGTCGATGATGGCATGCCATATTCTTTACAGAGTGCATTGGTTCTAATGCCTTCTTCGTGTTTCATAATAATTTCTGCACTGTATATTATCAATAAGTTAACTAAATTTCAGAATGACCAATAATTTTAATGTAAAAATGCAAAAATATTCAAGAGACCAACAAACTCGATGTTCACTCCACTGTAAACAAAGTTAAACTGAGAAGTGTTGGTGGGTGATTCAATCAGTTGATGGGCGCACAAAAACTGTTCCCTGTACTGCATATATTATCAATATATTATCAATATGTTAACTAAATTTCAGAATGACCAATAATTTTATTATAAAAAATGCAAAAATATTGAAGATCACAACTTTCTTGAGATTTACTCCACTGGAAACAAATGTAAACATAGAACGGATTACTGTATTGGCGGACTAGCCGATCAGCTGATGCCCACAACAAAGCGTGTTTCTCATAAGGCTGTCATTAATTGGAGTTTTGTACGTTAATGGAACTGAAAATTCTTATGGGAGCTAATTCGTCAACCGAAATTCCGTTAATTGAACCGTTCGTTAATCGAGGGACCACTGTATATTATTTGGTTAGCAAAATACATTCCCAAAGAAACCGTTGAATTACTTACACAGTGCATTTCAGAGTTAGCCTTGGTCCCTAGTGTACAGGCATGGTTGGTACCACTTACCACATTCAAGATGAACTAGGAGCAGTTTGGGTCATCAACACAATTGAAGAAACTGTTATAACCCAAAACAAATGCTGAAATTCACTTTACCATACAAATAATACAAGAGTTGTGCAGTATAGTTATGTCTATCCCCATGAGCTACACATATGGAGAGTAAGCTAAGTAATGTTATGATGTGGATAATAATTGAAACAGTTTATTTAGCCAGAAAAAACACTGATACAGAGTGGATAATAATAACAATATTAACATGGCTGATCCAGTTAAGAACCTGACTTGCATATAGCAGAAAAACAGCTGAAGCAAAGATAGTTACTGGAATTCCCAGAAAACAAACAATAATAAAGAAAGGTGCATATGTAGGTTGTTGTAGCACCAAGGTTCACTCATACATCAGTCTTTCAGGGAACTCTTACTTCTAATCCCCCCTATTGAGGGTGACACTTGCAATGGGAGATATTTAATAATTGTCTTAGTTTTAGCCACGAATGCCAAGGTAAACCCTAACTTAAATTCTTTGTACAATATTTGCTGGCATAACATATACCTGTCTTCTTGGACTGACACCAGGTTAGAATGAGAACATTCATGGACATAAAATTCTAGTACAGTATATCAACACATAAAATCAGACACTTTTTGTCAATAGAGCCAGTCAATCTCAATGATAACATAAACAAAAAACTCACCCGCTTCCCCTCACCACAGACCAATGGGTACTTCAAATCATCCTGTGTTAGGGTCTTGTAAGCCCATCCACTCATGTAGTGATCACGATACAACACTCGTTTGCCTAGGTCATGCCTCAGTGGTCGTCGTATAAAGTCCAAATGGGTAAACTCTCCTCCAAGTAACTCAGGATGCATGGCCCCCTTGGAATGATTCAAGATACACACTTAAATAAACCAGGTGAAAATACAACAAAGAAACAATAAAGACTACATCCATTTCAAAATTATCAAAACCTAAGAACTGCACACAGAATCTCAGCATTGTGCAATGCTTAGGATCAAGTCCATTGTGGTATACTGTAGTAGATTTTGTGGAGTAAGACAAGTAGTTTCTCCACCAACCACACAAATTGTCTAAAGTTGCATGTACAGTACATACAAAATAATAAATACAGTCCAAACCTTAATTTAAGTATAATAGTGTAATTTAATAATGACTGAGTGGACCAAAAGTGAACTTTCAGTAATCACATGATTGTACTGTAGCTTAAAACAAAATATTTAGTCACAATACAAAATAACCTTAAAAACCACTTTCTGGAGACACTTCAGATTCTGTCAGGTTCACTGTAACTTTTACAGGAGCAGACCTAAACTGATTCAATTGCCCAAATATTTTCATGAATGATCATGCTAATTCTAGTCTTCTACAGATTTCACATCATATCACTAAACCTTAAGAGGTTGCAATGTGTTATCTTTCATCTAATAAGACAACCCTTGAATTGCCTAGTTTTCAAGAGCAGGTCTTGGGAGACTAGGTCACTGTTTCCTCCAGTATTTATCAAGTTGTAAATAATCCCAGGCAGAAAGTGGAGGGATTAGATGAGGCAACAGAAAAAAAAAAAGAATATAACGATGACAAACAAGCAATGGGAGGATAGCAATAATGGAATATTTTCAAGTAACTTTATAAGAAAATAAATTACAGTAGTTAGAAATAAATAATGTAGAGGAGCACGCCGAAACACAAATATAGAAAGGACAAAAAGCATGGAGGAAAATCTTGCAGAATAATGTATCACCAGAGGAGTAGGAAAGCAGGAAGCAGGAGTACAGGATGAAAGTACAGGTACTATACAATATGAGATACTTGGGAAGGAAAGGCTGCACAGGTGGGAAAATTAAGTTGTGATTTTGTAAGTAACAGTTATACAAAATTGTACAGTATTTAAAACTATAAAACAAATAAGACAATCTAGTACAGCACTGCAATCCCAATCTGTGACTAAATAACCTTCCTATTTATAACTTCCTATTCATAACCACTAATGACCTTGGACTGGACATCATATGTATCAACAGAATACTTGAGTCTATCTTACCAGTTTTCTAATTCGTTGAGTTTCTGTCTCTGGGGTAAAGTCAAAGGACATAGGGAATGGCTGACCATTAAGAGACAATACCCCACGGGAGTCTCCAGCATTAGCAATGAACAGTTTACCATGAATAAACACAGCCACACAAGCAGTACATCCACCTGCTAATTGGAACTTGAGCCTATCTTCCCCAATAATGGAATCCTGTGGAAATAAATCTTTTATGAACACCATATTAAGTTTTCAATCTAGTTGGAACAAAAATTGCAACTATAATCAATTAACAGTTTGGCATGTAAAAAAAAAAGTCAAGCGGTCAAAAAGTATAAGTACAGTATACTGCATGTACTGTACATTGTTTTCCCATATGTTAAAAGGTTTTTCCTGTTGTGATTCAGGGTGGCCAAGTACATCAGACACCCAAGCATATGACTCCAATACTGAAAACTATTATGGATTGAATTCCCAGATCTGCCCAAGGAGTATCTCTCATTGGCTTACATTCAAAGTTTCAAATAAGCTATAACTAGATAGTTTTATAGGTTTCTAGGCAAATTGTTTAACCATTACAATTACACCTTGAATTAAAATAAAAACAGTAACAGTGAATTCACTAACCATTTGCCAAAAGGCATTTTCTAGGGCCCCTGTTACTGCACTTTCCACTGTTACTTCTTTTTCAGGTGCCCATAAAGGAGCTTGTACCTTGGAACTCCTGTCGTCAAAGGGGTCAGGAATCAGAATGTCCAGTACATCACACAATTTCTCCTGTTTATAATAAACAATTGTCAGCACTATGAAGGCTTTGCTATAAAATATATATACTGCATATTTTATCAGTAACACCATCTTCTGCTGTGCAGAATGGTGGTTAAAATATAATCCCTTCACATATACAGTACTGTGAAGTCCATTACACAACTCTTGAATAAATATTCTTCATCATACAACTTCCTTTAGCATAAGCAGTCAGCCCTCCACATGCAAAAGGGTAAAATTTCTGGAAAACCCCACTAATGCAGATAATTTTGTTCAATAAAAAAAAGGGTTAGGTTCCTAATCAGACATCTACATAGTAGGTAATACACTGCCATGCAGATGCCAAATTTTGTGATGAGGCTGAACAATAGTACAGTAGCTATAATTTTCACAGTGTTGTTGGCATATACAAGCTAATTAAATCAAGTCATTCATTATGCAGCATTTCATTAAGATTAACCAATCAATCTTGTGTACTGCCATAGCATACTGTGATGACATTAATCAAGTTGCAAAGAATTAGTTATTGTACACCGCCTCCACATTCCATCTCCAGGTGCCAGGCAAGTGTGTGTCCTAATGAAATGAGTTCCAAAAGAGGAGTACAGTACTCAATGGCTGCTTTGTTTGTTTATTTTCGTCTTCCTTACTTGCTTGTCCTGGCAATTTTTTGGGCACTTTTTGAACTGGGAAGCTAAAATTTTAATACAACAGGGGTCAAGTTTTTTTTTTTTTTTTTTTTTATGGCATGGGAGCAGTGCACAATGAATGTATTTGTACATAATCAGTTGAAATTACTTAAAGAATTGAAGGTAGAAAATCTTCCAAGGTGCACTGAGATTAGGATGTGGAACTCATCTTCCAGGTGAGTTCCACTTTGGTTGGCAATGATGTGAGGGTTATCAATCAGACAAACAGGTAAATAAGTCTTAAGCCTTAACTGATCTCAAATCACAATCCAATACAATGTCAATGCCTACACACACCCTAAAGGGTTTCCCATTTTCTCCATGACACAAAATATAATACAGCACAGGAGATATTAAGTGCAGGTCTAGCCCTGAAAAATGAACACCAACTGCACCGAAGACAGGAACGCGCATGCGTGCATAGTGTCAACAAAGGCTGTAAGAGACTGCTCCTTAAAATTCGTATTTCTGACGAATTCAGCGAGTCTACCAATCCCAGCCTGTGCAAACAACTATAGTAAGACCCAGTTATCAGCACAGTGGCATATATTTTTTTTTTACTTTTGGACTTTGTCATTTTTGGGGGATAAACCATCTGGTCCTACCACCCTATCCCTCTGAGCAAAGTTTTTTCAGGTTTGCGCATGCGCAATGTGATAGTGTGACATAGCAGTGACGTCATTACCACTTCACCTGACTGCAGTGTTGCCAACGTGCCCTATGCCCACCGTTAAACGCTCCCGTTCGTTGGAAACGGCGGCAGTAGGTGACAGTGATGCTGACGACTTTCTTCTTGAAGACACGTCAAAGAAGAAGCAGAAACCTCAGAAGTCAGGGTCTCCAGCAGAGGCCACGGCTCCCCCTTGCACTCCTTCTGGGGCTGTAGAGGGTGGACTCCTCCTGTCATCGGGGTCCCCAAGTGAGCCTACATGTGGCTCAATGACCAACCCTCCGCCGACGATGGACATAGGGGATTCCCTTTGTCTCCCTGCCCCGTCGCGCCTTCGTCGTCTCGCCTTCCCTCGGGACTTGCCTCTGAGCACACGGACGACCTGGTTCTTCCGTCACTGCTCTCCACTTCAGGACTCAACACTTCGCCTCCGCCGAGGTCCCACAGCCGTGAGAGTCACCACACAAATGGACGAGACGGTACGCCTGCTCACTCAGGTGGGCTTTCCTGCTCCCCAGAGGGAGGTGATGCTGAAGTTCACCATCATCACCCCAGAAACTCGTCGTACCAAGGTAATGGTTCGCCACGTACCCTGGGAGATCCCTATCGACGATCTTTGCCCTCTTCTCCCACAACTACTGACATGGAACACCGCATCAACCCGGTCTCCAAACGTCCATCCAACGAACTCATCGGCTGGTGGGTGGGCCCCCTCCCCCCGAAGGTGAATGTAGGACCAATTCACAACTGTCCTCTCGACCGATTTATCGGAACCCCGAAAATCTGTAGTCGTTGCCAATCGTGGAAACACCGCACCTGGGAGTGCACGAGGATGGTCGCCTGTGGTTTCTGTGCAGGTCCTCACGAAACAGTGGAATGCAAATCGAAAATTCAGAACAAAATCCCAGTTATTCCACGGTGCGTCAATTGCCATGGCAGTCACCACGCCTGGAATGCCAATTGCCCACAGCGTCCTGGCACTCGCCCGGGGAAAACTTACCTTGTACCACCGCCCTCGTCTCTGACGAGCCCCTGTCAACCAAACCTCAATCCTATCCACCACCGCCTCTTCCATCCACCAAGGATTTCCCATTGATCTCCTCTCCTCTACCACCCCCTCTATCACCCCTACCACCCATCCTTTCTCCCCTCCCTCCCTCTCCCTACCGTTCTTGGAACAAGGTCGTTGCCGGCCCTGCCACACAGTCACCACCATCTCCTGCCCACCCGGACCCCCGCTGTCTCTCACCAGCACCACCACCTCTTACTCAACTGAACCCTCACCGTCCCTCTCCGTCGCTACCACCACCACATGCCCAGTCGGGCCCTCGGCAATCCTCGCTGCCACCTCCAGCTCCTGCACAGGTACACCAAGTTGGTTCTATGGAAACAATCACTCTCCGTCTGGATCGCCACTCCAAGCAAATCAACCTTCTCTCAGCCCAACTCAACTTGTTTGTGAAAACAATTGCGACATTGCAGAAGCAACAACAACTCATTCTGGACACCCTGACCCAACAGGGGCGCACTTTGCAAGCCCTGATGACCCGCCTCCTTCCATCTCCCGAGATGGAGGATCCATCCCTCACTCTCCCACTCCTCCCTCTCCATTTCTCTCAACAGAATTTGGTACCTCCTCTGGAGCCCTGTCTAGCCCCTCCGACTCATCTCACACCGGAGGCCGTTCCCTCCTCTTCTTACAATGGAACATCCAGGGACTTAGACCTTGCCCAGTTTGTGCTCTCCCATCAAGTAGATGTTGCTCTACTTCAGAAAACCATCACAGACGATGTTACTCCACTCCGCCTCTCTGGCTATACTGTTTACACCCTGCCTCAGTACCGTGGGCAGGCTCGTCGCCTCCTCACCCTTGTGCGTAACACCATTCCATCTGTTCATCTCCCTTCACCTGACTCACATGGACCCCCGTCTGAATTACTTTCTGTCTCCCTTACTCTTGGTGACCGGACCCTTCGTGTAGTCAATGTTCATTTCAAGAGTGATTCTCTGGACCCCCAGGTTCTTCACGACCTCCATGATGGGGTTCCCACTATTGTTCTTGGCGACTTTAATGCCCACCATCCCACTCTTACTCCGGATCATCCCACTCCATGTACCCTTAACAGATCACATCTCTCACAGTTTCTTAATGGGGATGATGATGTTCGCTTTCTTTGTCCTGACAATTCTACTCACCTCCCCCATAGTTTCCTTGATGTTGGCTTACTATTGAACGGTCATACCTCCTTTCATCCTACCGTCTGCACCGAGCCTGCTCTGTATAGTGACCATCTTGCCATTACTACCCATCTCAGGCTCTCCTTCTCTGCCTCGACATCAACTCCTTATCGATCCCCTCACCTTCGTCTCACACAAGATGCTGTTCCTTCCTTTACCCAATACCTTTCTACCTGGGCGGATTCCTATGTTGTCCCCCAGTCCCTTGACTCTTACAGCACTGATTTTGTTGATGCCGTGTATGACTCTGTCAATTGCGCTACCCCTCCACGCCCTCCCCGTCACCCCAGAAGTGCCACCAACTACTGGTATCGTATCCCTGCCATGAGACATCTCCGGCAGGTAACCCGTGATCTCCACTCTGCCATACGGAGGTCTCGGTCTCCAGAGGACATAAGAACATAAGAACATAAGAATGGAGGAAACTGCAGCGGGCCTATTGGCCCATACTGGGCAGTCCCGTTTACACCCAACCCCTATTGCTCATATGAGCATCCAACCTATGTTTGAAGCAATTCAGCGTATTCGAGTTAATGATGATATTTGCAACTTGTTCCATTCATCCACTACTCTGTTTCAAAACCAGTGTTTACCTATTTCACGCCTAAATCTAAATTTGTCTAATTTAAAACCATTGTTACGAGTTCGCTCCTGGTTGGATAGTTTGAGTACCTTTGTAATGTCCCCTTTCTTTAGCCCTGCCTTCCACTTATACACCTCTATCAGGTCGCCCTCACTCTACGCTCTCAAGGGAGTGCAAATTAAGATGCTTTAACCTGTCTCTATACTCAAGGTTCCTAATGCCCGGGATTAGTCTTGTCATTCTCCTCTGAATTCTTTCCAAGGATTCTATATCCATTCTGTAATACGGTGACCAGAACTGAACTGCGTAATCCAGGTGTGGTCTCACAAGAGCAAGATACAGTTTTAGGATGACCTCGCTAGTCTTGTAACTAACACTCCTTTGTATGAACCCAAGTACTTTATTAGCCTTGTTACGAGCAAAAACACATTGTTTACTTGGCTTAAGGTTCCTACTTATCATTATTCCTAAATCTCTCTCGCAGTCGGATTTCTCTATGGCATCGTTGTTCATCTGGTATCTGGTTTCCCTGTTTACATCTCCTATACTGAGTACTTTACATTTGTCCACGTTGAATTTCATCTGCCATTTTTCAGACCATTCGAAAAATTTGTTTAGATCTTCCTGTAGTTTTGCGGTCCTCGTCAGATTTGATAACACGTCCTATTTTAGTGTCATCAGCAAATTTACTTATGTTGCTGTCAATGCCGATATCTATGTCTTTTATGTATATAATAAATAATAATGGTCCAAGTACTGAGCCTTGGGGAACTCCACTTGTGACTTTGCTCCAACGGGACTTAGTGCCGTTAATGCTCACTCGCTGTTT